TTTCCTGGAAGTTTTCAGGGCTTTTAAATTTTTGTGATCAGTCATACCCTGGAAGGGGATTTGTTGCCTCAGGAACTGTTCGCCACTGTGGAGTCAATGCCAATACGTATCCATAAGCCTCCTTCTCCCATAGGGCCAGCGCTGTGCTGTTTCGTGGAGTTTTTAGATGTATATGCACAGGGTTGCAATACTGCATCATCATTTTCTTGTAATAGCACAGCCCCCACTGCCACATCACTTGCATCTGCCTGTATTATGAAGGGTTTGTCCATGTCTGGGTGCCTTAGTACTGGGTTCGGCAGAAAAAAGTCTCTTTAGTCTCTCAAACGCTGCTTGGCACTCCATTGTCCATGTTAGTGGCTGGCTAGGGTTTTACTGAGGATGTTCCCTTCGTTTTTAGTAAGTTGGTGAGGGGCAAGGCTATCTGTGCAAATGAGGGGATGAATTGGCGGTAAAAATTTGCAAAGCCCAGGAAACTTTGTAGTTGCTTTCTTGTGCGGGGTGGTGCCCATTCTAATACTGCTCTGACCTTCTCTGGGTCCATTTCAATGCCCTGTGGGGATCTGCGATAGCCTAGGTCGTCTATCCTTTCCTGGTGGAATTCGCATTTTGAGAGTTTGGCATATAGGTGAGCGGCTCGCAGCTTCTTTAAAACCGCTCTGACAAGTTTGACGTGTTCTTCTTTTGTTTCGGTAAAGATAAGAATGTCGTCCAAGTAAAAAAGGACCCCCTTAAACAGGTGCTCCCTTAGAACGTCATTGATTAGTTGCATAAAGACTGCAGGGCCCCCTTGTAATCCAAATGGCAAGACTTTGAATTGATAGCACCCATGGGGCAGTTAAATGCAGTCTTCCATTCGTCCCCTTCCTTGATTCTCACTCGATAGTAAGCTTCCCTTAAGTCTAGTTTAGAAACATTTCTTTCGACTAGTGTGAACAGCATGTCTTTCATGAGGGGCAGCGGGTATAGGTTGCTTTCACTGATTGTGTTCAGGGCCCTATAATCCACGCATAAACGTAAAGAGCCATCCCTCTTCTCTCTAAAAAGGACCGGGGCAGCCACTTTAGGCTTAGCTGGTTCAATGAAACCTCTCTCCAGGTTTTTTTTTATAAATCTTTCCATTTCCTCCTTCTCCTTTGGGCTCATTGAGTATAATCTGGGTTTCGGGAGTTTTGCCCCAGGCTTGAATTCAATGGTACAGTCTGTGGGTCGGTGGGGGGGAAGCTCATTCGCCCTCTCCTCACTGAAGACTTCAGCAAGGTCCCTATATTCATCTGGTATTTCTGTTAATCTTTTTTCCTCTCCTATGGATGCTTTTTCTATTCGTGATTCTGGTAGCCTCCCTTGGGGTTTTAAGTCCATAGGGTCCCCCTTCGGGAATTTGATTTCTGTCGTCCTCCAATTTACCCAGGGGTTCCATTTTTTCAACCATTCCATCCCTAGAATCATTGGGCATTCCATACCTGGGGTCACCACAAACGTTAAGTCTCTTTCATGGTTGCCCAGGGATGAGGGTGTATTGGTAGAGTGGCTAGGGTAGCTGGCACCCCCCCTGCTATGGATCCATCTAACTGGCCAAATGAGATTGGTTGTTCCAGTCTCCTGGATGGGATGCCCAGATTCCCCACTAGTGTTGGGCTAATGAGGCAGCGGGTGAAGCCAGAGTCTATTAAGGCTTTCACCTTCACAGCTTCGGGCAGGGGGGGGATTAATATAGTCACTGTTTTGAAGATGGGTGTGATGCGTCCACTTACCAGGGGTTCGCCTTCCGAGCTGTCATCTGAGGCATCCACCGTCCCTGTGGTGTAGGCTGGAGTTCTTTCCCCTTGGTGAGCAGAGGTGGGGTTTTCTGCAATTTCCATCATTTCATGGCTGTTTCTTTTGGCTTAGCTGAATACCCTCTGGGTTTGTTGATTGGGGATCTGTCTGGGTTGTGCTGGGGGGCCTTTGAGCGGCATTCTACAGCTCGATGCCCTTCTCTTCCGCACTTGAAACACCCCATCTGCTTCTTGGCTGTGATCCGATGATTTCACCGGTTGGTGTGTCAGCTCAGGCGGGGGGCGGCTCCATTGTTTTCCTCGGCGATGCCTCTTCAATATGTCGATCTCTGCTTCCTCTGCCAAGATGTACCATTCCTCAAGTCGATGGGGGTCTCCTCGGGGCAGGCAAGCATCATATAGATCATAGTTTAGTCCGTCTTTGAAACGGCCAAGGAGGATGTCTTCTGGCCAATTCAGTTTGCTGGCAATGGCTCGGAATTCTTGTGTATACTCAGCCACTGGGCGTTTGCCCTGCTTCATCGTTGTTATTCTTTCACGGGCTTTGCGATCAGCCAGGGGGTCTTCAAACCGTCTTCTCAACGAGGACATGAAACGGTTGAAGTTACTGAGTTCTGGGGCATTGGAGTCATGCAGGTTCACCACCCAATCTGCAGCTGGTCCATCCAGGGCAGATTGCACGATCCGGATGCGGGCTTTGTCGCTGGGGATGTCCTGCCCATATTCCTCCATGTAGCTGAGGACTTGGGTTAGGAAAAACCCCAAGCGTGTTGGCTCCCCTTTGAATTTCACCTCCACGGTGGACGTCTTGGAATGGATCGGTGCCTCCATTGTGGGTGGTAGTGTCTTCCGTCCAGATTTCCATCTGTGGTCCGGTAGGGGGTGGGAGCTCCTGGATCAGTAAATGTCCCTGGGGTTGCAGGTTCCACGTCCCCCTCGGTGTCTCTCCCTTTGTGGCTCCAGGAACTGGGGCGGGCGTAGGGCTCAGGAATCTCCTCTCCTAGGGAGCTGAGAGTTCTCTTCATCAGGTCAATAGCTCTCTCTAGGATCCAGTCTGAGTACGGCATACAGCTTCCTCCCTCTTCACTTGCGTGCAGGGATTTCTCCATCTCCTGCTTCCATTCTGGTTGCTTGGTTCCCCGTCTCAGGGTCACTTTTCTTGATTCCTTTCCCCACTCGCTTTTCTTTCCAACGCCCATCGACCAGCGAGGCTTGTGGTCCTGTGTCTCCACCAATTCTTCTTCTGAGAAATCTGGCCTCTCGGATCCCAACATCTGGCAAGGTTCCAACTGGGTCAGCGGCTCTCTTTCCAGGGAGTTTTCTCCCTCTCTTGCTTCGTTGTCTGACATGGTAAATTTTTGCAAAATCCCCCGGCAAGGGTCTACCTTCCAGGTGGATTAATTTTGCAAGTCCTGTCTAATTTAAGGACCCACCCCACTTTGCATCTTAAGAAGACAGAACTCTTGGAATAGCTCTTCCAACAGGAATCCTTTATTAAGAGAAAATGGTTGCAGGCATGCTAGACAGGACTTGGGGTTCAAGCTCTCCCATTCCAGGTTTTAAGGGGTTCCCCAGTAGTCCCACCCAATCAACCCCCCTTCCAGTGATAGTTTCAAGTATCACAATTCCATCACCCTTTCTTCTTCCGTCTGGATGGAGACTTCAGATAACTACATGAAAGGCAATTACTCTTCTTTGATATGTTAAAGCTTAGAGGCCACAATAAACACACATTCAGTCCTTTGAAGTGTGCTGAAGGAAGTGAGGGCCATAAAGCCCCTTTGCTCTCCCCCTTTTCTCCCTCTTATGGCAGAATCCAGAGAAGGCAGAATTGGGAGTTTCTATGTTTGATAATTAAAGATGAAATATAATTGGATTCTGACAGTCTCCAGTGATGGAGCACCCACATATTCTGAAGGCAAGCTATTCCATTGATGAATTGCTTTCACTGTTAGGAAATTTCTCCTTAGTTCTAGGTTGCTTCACTCCTGGGTTAGTTTCCATCTATGGTTTCTTCTCTTGCCTTTTGGTGTTTTGGAAAATAGTTTGACATGAAGACTACTGTTCCATGGAATATCTGAAAAGCCATCAACTGAGAAGCGTAAGTGGAAAATGCCTTGTGCCCGCCCTCAACTGAGCACATTCTCAGAATTGTATCCCAAATATAAACATAGGATAGAAGAATCATAACTATGGTGCTCACTTCAATGAAGTGAAGAAAGATAAATAGTACAACATGATTAACGTATGTGTCAGAGCAGGAGATCCTTAAGTGTGGAAATATGCTTCAGAAGAAGAGATCGATAAGATTTGATGTGCAGAATGATAATCAGAATGTAGAGGAAGTGTCTACCATCATATTCATAAGGCTTATATTGTATGCAACAGCAATTATTTGCTGGCATAGGTTTTTTTTGGATGAGTTTAAATTTGCCTGGTTCCTAGTTATCTCTCCAGCTTGAGGGCCTGGTAGCTTATTAGCTTATTAATAAATAATTAGGTTTTTTGTGAGCTATGAATTAACTTTAGCCAGCGGCATTAGCTTATTTTTGCTTTTGCCTGCTAGAAGTAACATTTTTTAAATATCTATTAGAAAGAACTAGAAGAGTTGACCACAAACTCTTCCTGGGTTGATCAGTAATGTATAACCTAACTGATAGGTTGTGGTTTTGACACTTGGCTAAGATACATTGCAAGTGAACCCATTACTGGAATCAAGGAATGTCACATAATATTTAGCTGAAGCAATGATTATAGCCATCTATAAACAAAACATAATAGCATAGTAACATAGCACACCCAGAGGTAGAGATGGAATAGAGATAGAATAGACCTTGGAGGTTTTCTAATCCCCCCGCTGCTCAAGCAGGAAACCGTATATCATTTTAGATAAATGACTGTCCAGTCTCTTCTTAAAAACCTCCAGTGATGAAACAACTACAACTATTGAAGGCCAGATGTTCCGCTGGTTAATTGTCTTCGCTGTTAGGAAGTTTCTCCTTAATTCCAGATTGTTTCTCTCCTTGACTAGTTTCCATCCATTATTTCTTGCCTTGCCCTCTGGTGCTTTGGAAAATAAGTTGACCTCCTCCTCTTTGTGGCAACTTAAATGATAATGAAGCAGCATTAAATAATTTTGGATATTATGGAATGGTTTTGCTTTGTCTGCATGTGTGATTGTCATGTAACTAATCAGCAATTCTCTTATTTTGTTTCCTGTAGGAGAAAAAAACAACAACTGTGCCTGATTTCTGGCATGCTCCTTGGATGTGAAGCCCAAAGGTGACTTCTTCGGCTTCTGTACGGAAGTAAAAGAATTTTATCTTTCTTTAATCCTGTGAGAGCATTGGCTTCTTCACACTGGATTCCTGCACCTAGCCAGCCTTCTGGCCAATCCTGCTAATACACCTTATTTTCCCTTCTTTCTTCAGAAGTCTCTAAATAATAATAAAAAAAAATCTGAGAATTCTACTGATTTCAGTGAACTGATATATCTTAAGCTGATATTGTCATGTTTCTTGTTCCACTTAACACAGTTGATTTTCACGTTTTGTAAATTATACTTTCTGAAAATCTTTCCAATTGCTATCCTTCTGTGATTCCAGGGTGTCTTCTTCGTGTGTTGAAACCACTACTGTTTCTTACAGCTAGTCCTTGACTTATGACAATTTGTTCAGCAACCATTTGAAATAACAATGGAGCTGAACAAAGAGACTTAATGACCTCTCTCTGAAATTCTGTTTGTTGCAGTATCCCTGTAGGTAGTCATCAAAATTTGGGTGCTTGGCAGCACGCCTGCCTTTACAACTGTGGGAGTCCTGCAACTCTCACTCCATCCATGGGCTGGGACACATTGGCTAGCTAAGCCTAGCAGCTTGTGTAATTATGGCTAAAAAAACAACAACACTGAAATGCTTGGTTTACCTCATAGTGAACTGCTTATGACTTGACAAATTCAGAACCAACAACAGTATTTAATTTACAGATGTGGAATGGTATAATATTATATATGCTTCAGTCTTTTGAATTCTAAAGCCCATAGTTATAAAAGTATTTTGATTCTGTGTGCTTTCTACAATAAATTATTTTGATTTATGACTGCCACTTTTTTTTCTGATGGACTGGTGTCAAAGTACCATTTTTTTAATGGGTGAATGTTGTGGAAAGGGACTAAAGGAGTGAACCAGTTGAAGAACCAGGTTTCTCTGATTAAACTGAAATAGTGGCCTTTGACAGTAGTGGAGACTTGTACAGGTGAACTATATTATATTTAAATAATATATATTTTATATTGAGATAATATTCAGAGGATTGAGCAATTCCATGTATACACGTTTGAAAGAACAAGAGTACACAATGTATATTCTTTTTTACACTGAATTGCCTCTTCTCCATAAGCAGCAGAGAGTTGTATTAAGTTGTCTATTAACTTTTTCTAGGGCTACCTTCTTTAAAAATTCACATATCCCCCACTGAATTTACCATGCCTTCAAGATATATGTTCTATATGTCCCCCCTCCTCAAATGCAAGTTATTGTAAAACATTTTTCCCCCAATCCAAATCCATATATGGCCAAAAGATTTTGGCACAGCATCTTTCACCTCCTTGTTTCTCAGGCTGTAGATCAAAGGATTGAGCATAGGGATCACAACTGTGTAGAACATAGAGGCCCATTTGTCTTGGTCCATGGAGTAACTAGAATTTGGTCGGAAGTACATGAAGAGTATTGTCCCATGGTATATCCCAACAGCTGTCAAGTGAGAGGCACAAGTGGAAAATGCTTTGTGCCTGCCCAGAGCAGAGCGCATTCTCAAGATTGTAGCCAAAATGTAAACATAGGATACAAGAATCATACTAACGCTGCCTGCTTCACCAAAGCCAACAGTAGTAAATAGCACAATCTCAGTAATATATGTGTTGGAACAGGAGAGTATTAGAAGTGGAGGCTCATCGCAGAAGAAGTGATTGATAACGTTGGAACTACAAAAAGATTGTTGGAATATACAGGAAGTTTGTATCATTGAATCTAGCAGGCTTGTAAAGTACACAATAGAGATAATTTTCTGGCAGGCCTTTTTGGACATTACGGTTGGATAGAGGAGTGGATTGCAGATGGCCACGTATCTGTCATAGGCCATAACAGCCAACAAAAGGCATTCTGCATCTGCAAGGATATCAAACAGAAAGAGCTGTGTAACACAGCCACTGTATGAAATCCTTTTAGTTTTACTTAATAAGTCAGTCAGCATTTTAGGAGCAATGGTTGAGGCACAGCAGAGATCAACAAAGGAGAGATTGCCCAGGAAATAATACATGGGTTTGTGAAGTTGGGGTTTAGTGCAAATCAACAGAATCATCCCTAGATTCCCTAACACAGTGATGACATAAACCAAGAGGAAGACCGTAAAAAGAACCAGCTGCATTTTGGGATTGCCTGTGAATCCTTGAAGAATGAATTCAGTAATGGCAGAACCATTTCCTTTATCCATGATTTTCTGAGTAGATGGGTTGGTTCAGGAGATTTGTTGTCTTTCTGATCCCTTGCAAAGAGAAAGAAAATTATATTACTTAGAGATTCAGCCATGTTCCTATCTTTATGCAATAAGAATTTAGATTTTTTTCAAAAGGATTGGAACCACACTACTTACTTAACTCAGTATATAGAATATTTGCTAGATCAAATTCGTTCATTATGCATTTGTTTATTATGGAAAAATGTAGAGTTTGGGACTATATATTAGAGATAAATTCTAATATATTTACTTCATTTGCTGTTTCAATTAAGTGATGGATGCAGATTAATATATTGCTACAATAGATATTCTGCTATAAACGTATGTGTCAAATTTTAATGGATTTATGCCTGCTAGCAACCGTAATTCTCCCTCTTGCACCCATTTGGGAACTGTGCTATATATCCTAGAAAGGGGGATGATTTGAAAGTGCCAGAACTCCTTTTCAAATTCCATTTATTCCAATTCTACCTTCAGATAGTGGATGATAATTTGGCAGTAGTAGGGTACATGAAATTCTCACACCATTCATTTTACAGGGTTTTTTTTTGTTTGGGTTCTAGATTTCAAGTTTAACCAGCCATTGCTCTTAATATTCTAGCAATATGGAATTTCATGTCCTTTTATGGTGCAATAAAACATGTGTTTGCTTTTACACAATTTTCCCTCCATATTCCCCAAGTGACATACCTTTCTGTACCTAGGGTGTCTCTTGCCTGTATTCATAGCTGAAACTCTTTTTAAATGGAACCAAAAATATAGGAACTAGAGATATTCAATTAAACTGATATAAAAAACCACTGAAAGAGGTAGATGCACCAAGAGGGATACATTCTCCTGCAGTCTCCACTGGTATAAATCATCCATCATGATAACCAAAAGCTCTGTATGTCAAATCTGATGCCTTTTAATGATAATTTGTTTTATTTATGAAATCTTGAAACTGTAGGATCAATAAAACCCTCTCTGTCAGTTTAGTTCAATTTCATATATTTGGCTGAGATTATGTTTAATACAAAACCTCACAACGCCTCCTTTAAAAAGGCAGCATGAAAACCAGGTATTGTTGATCTCACTGACTGTTGTTAAGGAAAAGTCCTTAGATATCCAATAAACCAAGCTGGAGGAAGATAAAACCTTATGCACTTTCTAAGGAGAAAAGAAATCACAGTTATTGAAACAGATAGCAAAATTGGTATCCTAGGTGTAATGCTCCCTCAAAAGACATAGTTCTGTCATAAATATGTGTTTTTTCCCCACAAAGAATTTCAAAACTTCTCATGATGAGTTTAGATGGTGTTTGGATAGACACAAGTCCTGGAGGCTGGTGTTCAGCTGGGAAATCCTGAAAAACTCTCTTAGACAATTCACCCCATACTCAACAAGGCAGGGATCCTGTCTCTTCTCTTATTCATGGCAATGGTCCAAGCTATCTCCTGCCATTCTTTGATACATTTTCCTAATTTTGCTTATAGGTGATATCTTATTCTTATTTAAATTTACATGGGTCTCAAATGAGAAAGATTCAACTTTATTAGATTAAATTAAACTTAGTAATGCTGAGATCAGGAAGGAAGAAAGAATTTCTTAAGGTGAGGATGATCCAGTTTTGTTAAACAAATCTTTCTGATCTATATTAATTTTTATTTATGCATTTTCTCTCATCCTACAGCAAAATAATCCATCTAGAATCAAGTCTTAAGAAGGCTTTAATATCTGAAAAGTACAAACAATTATAAATCCATTGAAACTCTAAAACTAAAATTGTCTCTCATTTTAGTACAGTTCAAAAATTTCTCAGTAGTGTTTCCCATATGCACTGTGTAAAGGCTAATCTCAACATTTGAATAAATCATATTGTGAATTAGCAAACATACCTGGAGTTGAGTCAGTGGTTTCTTTGCTCTTACAAAACTTGTGTAATTAAAATATACCTGGAATTGAATCAGTGGCTTCTTTGCTCTTACAAAACTTGTAAATAGGAGCAGAGATCTTAAATCTTTTTTCATATCACTTGGGATATAATCCCTTATGTACTTCAGTACCCCAGATCCTGGAGATAATTGGTTGCATTTTCATGCTATGTTGTGATAGTTTTAATTGGAGACTATCTTTAAGTAAATAATATCTTGAGTCCCAATCTACAACTCAACAATTCTCGGGTCCAGCCCCAGAGTGACACTGAACAATCCAGCCAAAGTTAGCTTTTTATTTGCTGATGCTATATAGACAGAATCTAGTTAGTCTAACTCTATCCCACTCTAACCCTAACCTATATATCGGAAATTCTAGGGAGTGGCTATCCTAATTAACTTCCTTTTTCTGATTTAGCTCCAGGCTGTGTTCCCCCCCCCAACATGCTTCCTCAATAAACTGTGACTTCCTCAATAAACTGTGACTTTATTGTAGTCCATCACATCACCTTCCCCTTCACAGACACAATCCATCACATCATTTTACAACTCAAGCATGTTTGATTGCTCATAAGCTCATGAACAAAATAACCTTCATATTATGTCTCGAGGCCAGCATTTGCCAGGGTTTTAATGATATTCCAGGAAAGAAAAGGGGAACTGTTAGCAGAATTGATAGTCATGGTAGAATGAAAAGCAGGCCAGCTCTTTGATAATTGCTCTCCAAACAAAGAGAGAACTTGAGATCATCCACAAGTGATCCAGATAGTTGCTCCTCACAAAGAAACCACAAGACAGCAGTCACCATCAGCTTTAGTGCTCTGATTCACTCAAAATGAGGTTGACACCTACATGGGTTTGCATACTCTCTTATCTCATATTTCCCTTTCTAATCCTTTTGTAAGTTGTTAACTGCTTTTCCTCTATTAGGAACCTTTGGACCAACATGTTTTTACAGCACTGTGTGAATTTTATTCAGTTCTTAATGAAAGACGTTTTTAAATATAAGTGTTATGAGCCGCAATTTAGAATATGACTCTGACCTTGCCTCTGACAATGTTGCAGTTGATCCTGTGTCAGTCAGCCTCAGGATCCAGTAAGCTAGGATTCAGCTGAGACTGATCAACCACAGAATCTCCTGTCTTGTGGTCTCCTCGTGAGAAGCAACTATCTGGAACACTTGTGGGTGATTGCAGATTCTCTCCTTGTCTGGAGCAATCAGGTGATGAGGCACAATCCCCAACCTCTAGATCTAGACATCTACAGAGGGGAGCAGAAATATGGTTCTCAGTGAGACTCCTCACTTGACAAAGGCATGCGTGATTACAGCCAGTTGTCAAAAGATTTCAGTAAGCATTGAGATCATGACCAGAACATAAAAGCCCATTTGTCTTGGTTCAGTGTATAGCTGGATGAGGGCCGGAGGTACATGAATACTATTGTGCTATGGAATATCTGAAAAGCTGTCAAAGGAGAAGCCCAGGTGAGAAAAGCCTTGTGCTTGCCCTCAGCAGAGCACATTCTCTGAATTGTACCCCAAATATAAACATAGGATAGACGAATCATAGCTATAGTGCTCACTTCAATGAAGTGAACAAAGATAAACAGTACATTATGATTAACGTATTTGTCAGAGCAGGAAATCCTTAAGTGTGGAAATATGCTTTAGAAGAAGTGATCGATAAGATTTGATGTGCAGAATGGTGATCAAAATGTAGAGGAAGTGTCTACTATCATATCCATAAGGTTCATATTGTATACAACAGCAGTTATTTGCTGGCATAGTTGTTTCAGATTTTATAGCTGAATAGAGAAATGAATTGCAGATGGCCAATATCTGTCATAGTCTTGTGGAAAACGAAAGGACTCTTACGAATTCCAGAGGGTTTTAGCAGAGAGATTTATTGCGCCGGTTCAGAAGCAATAGCAACAAGCAATTCTGAACTCCGAGGGCGGGTTCAGACTTCAGTTTTATACTTTCCTTTTCTCAAGAACAAAGGAATACACATTGAAATACACATTGTAATACATTAGGTTCGTTTCTCACAGTTATACAATGGAGAATTTGCTACACACATTGTATCCAAGTGCAATGCACATTAGATTAGTCATATACTACTAATACAGCACTATTCTAGTAATTATGCAGACACATCATTATTCTAGTGATTGTTCATTATTCCATATTAATAGGCCATCAGAGCCAATACAAGGCATTCTATGTCTACAAGCATGGAATACAAAAACAGCTGTAAAACACAGGCACTTTAAGAAATCCTTTCAGTTTCAGCTAATAAATCAAATAGAATTTTAGGAGCAATGGCTGAAGAATAGCAAAGATCAACAATGGAGAGGTTTCCTAGAAAGTAATACATGGGTTTGTGAAATTTGGATTTACTGCACATCAATAGAATTATCCCAACATTCTCTAATACACAGTGACACGTACTGAGAGCATAACCATAAAAAGATCAAATCTATCAAAGGAAGGAAAAAGATTTGCATTCTTTTGAGTTCCACCTTTTTTGGCTTCTCAATAATCCAGAGCACCAGGGCCACATTTTTATTGCATTCATCTAAATGATCATTAAATTTGCATTAAACAAAAATACAAAGTAGGGCAGTGTATACAGGTATTCTAATCTTTACTTCATTTGCTGAGGTATTGCATATGAGAACTCATATTAATACTTTGTGCTAGTGGTGTGACTGCTTCTACAAAAATTTATCTTGGAATGAATGTTGAAAATATTATGAAAATTTTGAGCTACTGTAGGACAAATGGAAATTTGCCTGGTTCCAACTTATCTCTCCAGCTTGAAGGCCTGGTGCTTATTAGCTTATTTATAGGTAATTAGGGTTTTTTTTGTCAACTATGAATTAATTTTAGCCAGAAGCATTAGCTTATTTGTGCTTTTGCCTGCTAGAAGTAACATTTCTTTAACACCTATTAGAAAGAACTAGAGGGGTCTACCATAAACACTCCTTGGGTTGACCAGAAATGTCTTCTATATAAACTAGTTGACAGGTTGTGGTTTTGACACTTGGCTAAGACACATTACACTTGTATTCTTTTTTTCCACTGAATTGCCGCCCCCCTTTAAAAAAGGAAATAGAGATTTTTATTACGTTTTCTATTAAATTTATCTAGGGCCACATCCTTTAAAAAGACATGTATCCCCAATATGATTTTACCACACCTTCTAGTTCAGGCATGTCAAACTCACGTCATCACATGAAGTCACATAACGTATCGGGACTCTTTTGCCATTGCCGGCAATGGGGTGGGTGCAGCTTCCTGTGATGCATCTGGCCCACGGGCTGGCAGTTTGACACCCCTATTCTAGATAAATCTTTTGTATGTCCCTCCCTCTCAAATCACCATTCAAGTTATTGTAAAAGGGGCGTTGTCTTACCTGAACGCCTTTTCTCAGCATGATGATGGAGAATCCACGGATGGGTTGTCTTAATCTATCTGCTCCAATTAGACTAAGTCTGAAATTTAGTACCGCCCCCTCTGTGCCAACTGCACCCCAGTTTTAGGCTCAGGCGATACCCAGACTTTAGTCCGACGCGTCTGAACAAATGGGGACCAGGCCAACTGACCTAATGGGAGGGAGTGGATTCTCCATCATCATGCTGAAAAAAGGCGTTCAGGTAAGACAACGCCCCTTTCTCCAGCATGATTGGATGGAGAACCCACGGATGGGACATACCAAAGCCCTGTGTCCCTAGGGTGGGGAATTAGATTGGGCCTGGTTCCCACCCCATGTTAATGCGTGTTCTAGGACCTTGCGGCCAAATGAAGCCATAGAAGATGCATATATATCCATCTTGTAGTGACGGACAAAGGAGGAGGGCAATGCCCATGTTGCTGCCCTACAAACTTCCTCTATGGATGCCAGGCTGCTGTAGTGGCTGCGCCCCTGGTGGAATGGGCCATGATATGGCTGGGAGCTTGTAGTGACTGAGTCTGGTATGCCAGAGAAATACAAGCTCTAATCCACCTGCCTATAGTGGGTGAGGAAACCTTCTGTCCTAACGACGAAGGGTGAAATGACACAAACAGAGCCTCAGTCTTGTGGAAGGATGAGGTTCTCTGTATATAGCAATATAAGGCCCTGTGAACATCCAATCTGTTCCACTGAGCCTCTATGTCATTAGATGGGTTCGGACAGAAATCCGGCAAAACTATGTCCTGTGATCTATCATACAAGGAGTTGACCTTGGGCATGAAAGAGGGATCTAACCTGAGAGTAACCCTGTCCCTATGGAAGATACACAGGTCCTTTCTCACTGACACGGCAGCCAGCTCAGAGATTCTTCTGGCTGAAGTTACAGCAACCAGAAATGCCACCTTCATTGATAATAGTTTGAGCAAACAAGTGTCAATTGGCTCAAAGGGTGGTGAGACAAGAGCCTGTAAAACCTGATGAAGGTTCCAGGAGGGATATCTATGTACCGCTGGTGGTCTGGCATTGTTAGTTCCTTTTAAGAAGGAGCGTGTCATAGGGTGCTGTGTTAAGGGTTCCTTGCCACAGGAAATAACCGTGGCGAGTACTGCTACCTGCCTACGGATGGTGCTTGTGAAAGCCCTTTGTCCAAACCGTCCATCAGGAACTCCAAAATAACTGGCACTGCAGCCTGTAAGGGTTCAATTTTGTGAGCTAAACACCAATTACAGAAGCTCTTCCACGTGGCATCGTATATTCTATTCGTCGAGGGTCGCCTTGATTGCTGGATCATGGCTATGACCCTTGACGAATATGAGTCTAGGCCTAAGGCCTGCCTCTCAAGTGCCAGACGGTTAACTGGAGCCATTGAGGGTCCGGATGATGTAACTCCCCCTGAATGAGGGAGATCCGATTGGCTGGAATCCTCCATGAAGGGGATGCAGAGAGCTCCATCAGGTCGGCGAACCAAGATCGTCTCGGCCAATGCGGGGTGACCAGGAGGACCTCTGCTTGTTCGCGAAGGATCTTCCTGATCGTGGCAGGTAGAAGGGGCAGGGGAGGAAAGGCATAGAGCAGTTCCCTGGGCCAGGGACTGCGGAGTGCATCTGTTCCTTCCGCTGATGGAGACGGGAACCTGGAAAGGAATCTGGGAAGCTGTGAGTTGGCTGGGGAGGCAAACAGATCTAGGGTTGGGGAACCAAACCTGTCCACGATCTCTCTGAAGATCTTCGGATCCAGCTGCCATTCGGAATGGTCCACGGTGGCTCTGCTCAGTGCGTCCGCCTGCTG